TCCACAGTGCTATACCATTGGAGACAGCAACACCACCAGTGACACCTAATGGCTATGTTTTAAATTGCCTCCATGGCCTGTAACAACACATGGCTATCTGCCTTGTTGGTTCAGGGATAAAAAAGGTGGACCTTTTGTTTTACCGCCATCTTTGTTGAGGGCTGCCAGCTATGTTCAGGTCTCTGTTTAGTGCTAAGTGCAACTTTTGTCTTTTAAGCTTTTTGCTGTTCAGTTTTAATGCAATGTAGTGGTAGGAGCAGCAAGATTTACTAGTCCCTCTATAAACTGTATCTGATTGAAAGTTTTTCTTTGATTTTAGTTCAGAAAGATATTTAAAGTTATGCTAATGACTACAGTGGGTAATAAGATTGAGCTTTATCTAGTCTCTTGTTTATGTTTTTGAGGTTAAGCCTAGGATGGGTAACTACAAAGTTAGTTACCTATGTAGATCTACTTAAAATGGATATGTTTCTAAAACACTTATCTAAGGAACATGCCAGAATTAGAGATTATAGCAGTCTGTTTTATAGGATACAGTCTGGAGAAGATGACTAAAGACAGACAAAGAGTAACTCATATGCTAACCCTCAAGTTTGGCAGAGATCTGTGGAATATGGCATTTTAACATGTGTAAGCTTAATGTGACAGAGAGTCCCCTCATCCTGGCAGTAGCTCCCCAAGGTCTCTGAGAAGATTTGAGTACAACGACAGATGACTTCAAATCCAGATGACTCTGGATTGTGGTATGCTAACCACTGGGCCAGACGGCCCCAACTGGCCCACTGCTAGGGCCCAGCCTAAACTGTGAACAAAGCTATTGTCACCTGGAGAGTCAATGTTTCACGTTGCTGAAGATGAGGTGAGGTCAATCTCTCATGTTCTTTTTTTCCTCAGAAAATCTCTCATCTTCTGTGTCTGATGGCCATACTGCCTCTGCTCATGATGCCATGAGACCACAGGAGCCAGGGACAATTGCCTAGATGGTGGACTGACTAGTTGTCACTGTCATTTTGATTAGTACATAGATTGTACATTTATTAAGCTTATAATTTATCCTTCTCAGGTCTCTGATCACACTGATGGCTAATGGTAGTTTTGCAGCTAAAGAGCAAAAAATTCAATCCACTGTTAGTTCATTGGTCAATTCATTAGCTAGCTAGAACTACTAGGTACTAGGCATTTTATTTAGAAAGGCAAACAGGTTTGCTTTGCTCACAGGCTTCATGTTAATTCCCTGTATCTTATGGTAAATACCTGGATAGAAAGGCATAAAGTTTATGTAAGGTCAGAGGACATGAAAGTTTAAATTACGAGGATATAAAAATTGTGTGAGGTTCTAGGAAAATGTTTCAAAGTTGGTAAATGCAAAAAGGATTGAAGGGTCTAAGTAGACGTTTTAAGACATATGAATGTAAATTGTAATAATATAAGAAAATAATTTAAGGCATGTTGTAGTTAGGATTTACTATTAATTATCTTTTAGTAATGCTGCTGTTAGTCCTAAACAGCTGTATACCCAAATCACCACACAGACACTGGGATTTCTTTAATTAACCTCGAACATAATTCTGGGCAATAGTTACTTCATCGTAAACCTCCAATGCCTCATAGTTTCTTAACATTTAGATTTCCCACATTGTACTAGCTTTTTGTGAAATCTTAGGTCTGGTTCCTGATCAATGTTGGCTTATGAAAACTTGTTAAACAACATCCTTAATGTGAAATGTCACTCTAAGCTACTTCCTCATTTTCAAAGCATTGGATGAAGATTTTATTGGGTTTTATAGTGGCTTTTGGATTTTGGTAGTCTATGCAAGAAGGGAGTGTGGAAGCTCTTGTATCCTATTAATGATTGTCTGTCCATGTCTTGCCTGAAATACCATGATTTTTATGAAAGGTAGCTTTAATAATTCTAGATAGAGTTGGGAAAAAAAGAATATCCCCACCTGGAACCAGAAGACAGTTGCTAACCAACAAGTGTGCAGATCGCAATGCAGAAACACAAGAACTATGGAAAAGCAAGGCTGCATGGCTCCTCCAGAGAAATTACAAGCCTCAACATCAGAGTTCCAAGATTCTGGGATGGACCCCAGAAGTAACTGCAGGGTTTAGTTGTTGTGACCTGCTAGGCTTTTAGTGAGTCCGGGATGGAAATTATGGAACAGAGAACCCCCACGGCTCTTGTGGACTCCTGGGAGGAGTGGAAGACTAGAGTGGTGCCTCAGTAGGACTTTTGATGTATTGGACATTGTAACTCAAGAACACACCTGTCAGAATGAAGGGACCTTCAAAAATAGTAAACAGCCACTAATATGGCTTAAAGAGCACAGCTAGCCAAGATGTCTGACTTGCAGATAATGGATGGACTATTGTCCAGACCCTTAGGGAAGCTTGCAAGGTTGGTAAGTTGGTTGTATCTTACCTCTCATTCTTATTCTTGATGGATGTTTCGTGTGTGTGTGTGTGTGTGTGTGTGTGTGTGTGTGTGTGTAGTAGGGACACAGCACAGCTCAGAAAACATGAGAAGGATAAATTTGTACTTATGTCATCCTTGTCAAGCATAACTAATAGAGGCCCTATTTCATAGTCTAGGAATTCCTTTTGAGAATATTCTGGCCAGACCCGTCTGATTGGCAGGTATTTGTACCAAAGATGAAACCTCTTTACTTAGCACCTATTTTGAGACAGAAGAGCATTGTGACATGTAGCAAAAATCTAAGCTTTCCAGGCTATCTATTCATCACACTTTCCTCACTGCTTTTGGAGTATTTTCCTCAAGACAGGGAGGACAGCAGGACAACACACCTAGCCAGATCCCAGGAAGAGTCACTAGGTTAAGATGAGCCCAATACCTCTCTCCTCCAGCATTTTCTCTGTAGCCATCGATGTAATAAGACAGGGACCGGATAAGCTATGTGAAGAGCTAATGGTCATTACACAAGAGGATGAGGCACCTAGAAAAACTCCTTAGTCATGGGAGTTTCTTCCTTCTTATCCTCTGTCCCATGCTGTAGTCTCTCCATTATTTCTATTTCTTTGTCCTAACTGTTCCTTCCCAATTGAGCTCATTCTACTTCTGACACTGGCTTCAGCTACTCAGACTTCATCACTGAACAAGCATAGCCCATGCCAAATATGCCTTCATCTTCTGACAGAATTCTACAGAGTGAAGTAGACAGCAGGCACACAGCTTTGCAGAGCCAAGAAGGCTCTTGTGGAAAAGGCATCTTTCTTCCCAGGGAATGATTTGTGCCTCATATTTGAGGACAATATTTGACCATTCAGCTGGACAAAAGCTCCAGAAAAGACTTGGAATATCTGCTGCCATCTTTTTAATGAGCATGGCCTCTTTCATTCTCAGCAGCCATCAACTGCCAATATCTCCTCAGTCTTAGCATTATTTTTAATGGGGGTATATTAATTGTTCATAGTTTATAGTTTCAAGTATATTACACATTTGACCATATTTACCCTTCATTAATCTTCAGTTTCTCTTTTCCCCCTTCCTATACATACTAATCTCCTCCCCTCTTCTGTGTCTCCCTCTTTGTGTATGTAATGTACAAATATCTTACTTACTTGCTTCTCTCCATCAAGAAGAGCTGCCTGCACTCAGCTGCAGGGAGTCAGGAAGATAAAGAGGGGAAACCTCCCTCCAACCCTGGGGAAAAAAATCTTTCCTTTCTCTGCTTCCCAAAGAAGAGGCCTTGACAACAAAACTAATGAGACTATGACATATTCCAGCATAGCTCAGAGTGGAGGGCAGAATCAGACCACTGAGTTTGGTGCTGTGTGGGAGTACATGAACTCAATAATCCTTGGCCGTGTCCAGACACTCCTCATGCTTGGTCTTAGGAGACAAGTATTGCTCCTTACCATGGAAACGGAAGCCACTGACCACAATGCCTCCCACAGCCAATGGTCACACTGAGCAGATTTGTGTCCACTCTTCCCTCCTGTAACTGTCCTCTGTGACCATCTGGAGCTATGTGTTCCGAGGATGCCGATTTGTGACTTGTTAGTGAGCCTCTCTCCACTTTGTTTTTTGAGACAGGTTCTCTATGGGCCTAAGTGAAGTGCAAGGTCCTTCAACCCCCTCCAAGAATTAGGGGGAAAGGCATGTGCCATCAGGCCTGACTTTTGATGAGTGCTGGGATCGAAACTCAGGTCCTCATGATTGCTTGGCAAGCACCTTCCTAACTGGGCCATTGCCCTCGCTACCCCACCCCATTCCCTTCTTTCTCTCGTCATTCTCCCAGGAAGAAGCTGCAGCTTGTAGAGATGAAGTTTGCCACCGGGAAGGGCTTGCAATATAGTTCCCAAAGATGCTGTTTCAATGATTTCACACCCCTTCCTCCCTCCCTGGTCTGTCTGATATGTCCTAAAAATAAGAACCTGAAATGATGCGGGGCTAAAGTATCCATTGCCACTGACACTGTGCCTCGCTCAGGCATCTGCTTTCAGGTTTATACCAGTGCTTGGGAGCACATGCTTTTCAGCCTCTTAACTGGCTCTGATCCCAGATTTGTGAGCACACATTAGGTCTTTGAAAACCAACTCGTGCATATCCTGAGGAAACCCTGCCACACACTTACACACACCTCCATGAGTCAGCACACACTCATGTCAATGTGCTGACCCTGAGTTTTCTCTATAAGTAGATTGGAGTGTGGGCAGGTGAGCGATGAAGCCTGCTCGGCTGTCCACCCAAAGCTCTGGAAATAGCTCTAGGATGTGGCAGTAGACCAAGCTTTTGCTGTTTTATCTGAGGTGTGGTGATATTTGAAAATCTGCCCAAGGACAGTGCACACAGATCTTCATCCAAGCATTACTGAGCTCTTGGATTCTGTGAGACTTCAGTAAACTTAGACGAAGGAAACATTTAAGGGCAGGAGTGGGACTCACTGATAAAATGGTCATGAACTCTCTTTCCCTGCCCGTGCATTTGTGAGTCCTAAGTGAGATCACAAGACTCATTAGCATAAACTTGACAGAGGTACTTATTCCAAAAATAAACCCTGATTTTATTATTATTATTATTCCCAACATAGTATGATTTTCCACCTCCTCTTGCTTTACCTGTGAAATATCTACCTTCAGCAAGGCAGTCTATTTTCAGTAAGTCTATTCTTTGTCCTCTGTCTTTCCAGTTCATCTGGCCCCTTCACCCCCACCCCACCCCAACTAACCTAGTCTCAATCCTTCTCTTTACCCTCATCCATCCCTGGTTCAGCGGGGCAAGAAACTCATTGTGTAGTTTGGTGGGATGGTAGCAAACCCCACAAGTCTAGGAGACACATCAATGTCCTGGGGCGCCTGTGGGGATCTGAAGCAGAAGTTCTGCATGATGTTGGTAAGGAAGAGAAAGAGCTCCATTCTAGCCAGTCCTTCTCCAAAACAGTACCGTTTTCCTAGAGAGGAGACAGGGGAAGGTGAAGTCGCTTCTTGCTGTCACCCCAATAGCAAATCCCTAGCTGCATTCTGGGGGGACTGAGACCCTTAAGGAAAGTGCTACTATCTTTGCCTCAGTTTCCTCCTTACTTGAGGTGAGTTGATTTACGCCAGGCTGTAACAATGAGAAGTGTGGATTCCTTTCCCTACAGAGATGGGGAAGGGTATGCTGCCATGCAGCCTCATCCTGTCTAAGAACTGGTTGTGTGACCCAAGAAAGACCTCTGCCTTAGTTTGAGCTTTTACTTCCCCTTTATCTGTCACTAAAGTTGACCATCACATCTCCAGGGTTTAGATACATTGTGCCTGGGAATTCTGGCAGCTGCAGCTGGTTGGCTGAGGGTTAGATCCAAGAGAATATTCCAAGTTGGAGAGAGATGCTTGGTTGCACCACAGGGGAGCTATGGCTGAGCTATATTTGTTGAGGTGGGCAGTAGCCTGGCACTAGACAGTGGCTTCTTACCAATGGAAAAGGGCACAAATGCATCACTCTTCTTAAACTGCCCCTTGTCATCCAGGAAGTGATTTGGGTTGAACTCTCTGGGATTGAAGAAAAACTTGGGGTCTTTCAGCACAGAGCCCAGCATGGGAAACACTTCAGTTCCCTGTCAATGAGGAAGGAGATTTGGTATGTTAGATTTGGATGAGTGTCCTCTTGGCTCAAAGGGGTTAGAAGGGCAAGTTAGGGTATCTCAGGTGAAGATAAAGTAACATGTGAGTTGGGTGCCTCTGAGAGAGGAGCTTTGAGGAATGTGAGGTTCTCCTTGATACAGGAGAGGCAAGGGTTATGGGGCTCCTGTTCTAGGAGTCAGGATGAGTGAGTGACTTAATGTCTATGTTCTGGGGTGGGAGGTTCAAAGCTACCTACTTCATGTCTCTCAAGTCAGAATTTGATATAAGAGTCTCTAATTAGGAGGACAGAGGGGTGTGATGGCAGCAAAACCCAGTCACTGAGAAAGGGAGAGATGGCCTAGGAGGAGGTTCCAGAGGTCCAAGAAGAACGCTGGGTGAGTCAGCACCTTAGGGAGGAGGAAATCCCGAAACTTGGTGTCCTTTGTGACCCTGCGAGCCACACCCATGGGGATCATGTCTCCGAATCTCTGGATCTCATGGATCACAGCCTCAGTGTAGGGCATCTTCAGGCGGTCTTCATACTTGGGCTGCCTGTTCCTGCCAATCACTCGGTCAATCTCCTCATGGACCTTGGCTGAGAAGAAGAGGGATGTATTTAGAGGTGTACAAGAACCTCATAGTAGGGGTGAGAGTTCAAAACCATGAAAGCAGATGGAGGCCATGAAACAGTGTGTGACATTGTCAATCATTTTCACTACATACAAGTCATAGGCTTTGTTGGAGGAGCTTCCTGTTAACAGGGTCATACCAGAATTACATGGAAGTTGCAAGAAAGTAGATTTAAGCAAGCACCATGGAGGTGGGGCAGGGAAGTGGGTTCTTTGAAGGTCAGCTAGCAACACAACAGTTGGTTCAACAACCAGAGACTCATGCCCACCAGCCATGTCTCTGCCTCTGCAGAGCGAGTTATCTAAGAGTCTGGTTTCTTGAGAGAAGTAGGGAACACTGTGGCAGATCAGAGTTGAGAATCTACCCCACAGGCCATTTCCTGTCCCTTGGAGCCTTACCCTCAACATCCGGGTGCTTCATGAGCAACAGAAAGCCATAGCGCAGGGTGGTGCTGACTGTCTCTGTGCCCGCGAAGAAGATGTTCAGTGTGGTCATTACCAAGTTTTTCATGTGGAACTCTGTATTGGGGTTCTTCTTCTCCTGAAGGGAGGGAAGTATTCAAGGCCGATCCATTCCTTATACTCTTGGTGCCCTTGTATCTCTGCTCCCCACCTTGAGTTCACTTCTCCTTGGCCCAGAGCTAAGATAGGATGGTGATTCCTGGCTATGTCAACTTCTGTCCAGTTCCAGACCTTTGGATGGGCTCCAGTGCCCTAAACACCCTTCTGCCATTCATGATTCAGTTGACCGATCTTTAATGACCAGCTTAGCTACTAGTTTTTAAAAGGTAGAAACACTTAGGAAACGAAGGATGGAGAAAGGCTCTCGAAACAACGACAGAGACGTCATGCTAGAGGAAGTCAGTGAAAACTAGAGACCATTTTTGTGAGACAGTCACAGCTTTTTAAGAATTATTTTTATGTCTGTAAGTGTTTTGTCTGCATGTATGTCAGAGTGCTATGTGTGTTTAGTAGCTACAGAGGCCAGAAGAGGGAGTCAGATCTACTGAGACTAGAATTGCATGGTTGTAAGATGCTGGGTGGGTGCTTGGGTTGAACCCCTATACTCTCCCTATACGGGGAGAGCAGCCCTGTACTCTTAACTACTGAACCATCTCTCCAGCCCATAGACTATGAATTTCAGGTAACAGGATTCTATTTCTTAATTATAATCCTTAATATTTTCTAGAGGAATCTTATCCCTCAATTCTTTGCATGTCAGACTACGTAAAGTTCTGTCTCAGCCTTCAGAAAGCAGACTCAGGAGGACCACCGCAGGCTTGAGACTAGCCTGGCCTACACAGCAAGTTTCAGGTCAGCACAGACTGCAGGGAATCTTATGAAAGAAGGGGGAGATAGGAAGACCTGGAGGTCACAGGAGCTCCACAAGGAGACAAGAGAACCAAAAAATCTGGGCACAGGGATCTTTTCTGAGACTGATACTCCAACCAAGGACCATGCATGGAGATAACCTAGAATCCCTGCACAGATGTGGCCCATGGCAGCTCAGTCTCTAAGTGGGTTTCCTAGTAATGGGAATAGGGACTGTCTTTGACATGAACTCAGTGGTGTGCTCTTTGATCACCTCCCCCCTGGCGGGGGGAAGCCTTATCAGGCCACAGAGGAAGCAATGCAGCCAGTTCTGCTGAGGCCTCAAAGGCTAGGAAAGAGGACCTCCCCTATCAGTGGACTGGGGGAGGGGCATAGGGGGAGAAGAGGGAGGGAGAGTAGGATTGGGAGGTGATGAAGGAGGGGGCTACAGCTGGGCTGCTTGTTTTGTAAAAGCTCCTTGTTTGTAAAACAGCAGCCATAGTGGGTATCACTGAGCTGTTAACACAGTTCCCGGCATACAGCAGCCCAATATATTGTCTAGTTCTCTAGTTTGTCTATCCTCCTGAGAATGAGGGCAGAGCAGCTGGAACAGTGAGGCTGAATGGTCTGTGAGCATTGTAATGGAGGGGGCTGTGTGGTCCTCTGTACCACCCCTCCCAAGCCCAAGTCCAACCTGCCTGGCTTTGCACCTCTCCCCGTGCTCCCTAGCTCCTGGGTTCACCTCTAGCATGCGGATGAGGAAGGAGTCGATGAAATTCCGGGGGGAATTGGGATCCAGGGTACGCTGGTTCTGCTCCACCTTCTTGGTTATGAAGTCCTCTAGCCCCTGCAGCTCCTTAAAGGCCTGCTGCTGTGGCCCCGGCAGGTACTTCATCACAGAAGAAAACATCTCATAGAGCTGAAGGTGGGAAGGGAGAGAAGAACCCAAGAAGGATGTCACTGAACTAAACCTTGCAGATGTGGTATCTGTCTTAAGGCAAGGGGCATTTGTGTCAGCTGTCTGTCCAGGGGCTTAGACATAGCTCTCTTACAGATTAAGTGTGGGGGCTTGTTGTTGAAGACTTGAAGTGACATGGACTTGGGGACACATGCAGGTTTGGGGTTTCTGATTGACATCTAGGTTGGAGTTACATCTGTAGATGTTTAAGCTTTTTGGTGACATCAGCTGGAGGCAGTTGTTCATTATTAATGGACTTTGGATTGATGAGTTCTAAGAGGCTTTCCAACATTAAACCAGTGCTGGGTAGTCACAACAGCTAAATTATGCAATCCAACTAGGTGTCCAAAAACAGGGTGTCTCATATATATACTGAATTGTTTTTCAGGCCTTAAAAACAAAGTTACAGCATTTTCAGAGAAATGGGTACAACTGGAGAGCACCATATTTAGCAAATTTAATAACCAGCTCAGAGAGAGAACTCACACATGCGTTCTTTCATCTGTGGTGCTGAGGTTTTAAATCACATGTGTACGTATGTATGCATGTATGTGTCAACTGGAAGCAGAATTAAAACTGTCTCGGGGACAAACAGGACTAACAGGCAGAGCGGGCAAGAGAAAAAGGAACATAGGAGGTATGGTGTGAATAGGCTCAATAATGCACAATATATGCTTGTCTGAGACATTAAAATAAATGCTATTTTAAGTGGTGCTGATATTCACAGGGTTGCCTGCCTTGTTATTCAACCAGCTTCGCAGATGGCCATACTTAGGTGTGTGAATGAGCGGGGTTGGAAGACCCTTTCTTGTGTGGTTTTTTTTGGGGGGGGGCATACTATGTAAACATTTTGGTTAGAGGTGCAGGTGTTTGGGTATTTCCGTGGCTGAGTGTCACTCATCTACATAGTCCAGTGGGTCAAGAGCTGAGTGTCGTATGTGTGTGTGTGTGTGTGTGTGTGTGTGTGTGT